CCACGAATCAGCCTCCGAACTCTGCTCGGCCTCTCTGAATGTAGTAGGCACCATCTCATCGATACTCTCCACCGGAAGTGCATATGCAACTGTGTCGGCATACCGTGCTGGCACCCGTATGTCTCTCCTCTGTCTCCGTGCCGCAATAGAATCCTGAACCTGAGCCGTCGGTCCCTGATCCTGCTCATGAGTACCCGTATCCTCCGCATCACCGTCGTGCTCACATGGCGTCACCTCAGTCGGCACTATAGTCATGTGCTGGCTTTCCCGACCACTTCTCCATAGGGGTTTTCCCCTCAATCGCAGATGAAGGCAGCCTATTAATGAGGTGGCTCGCATAAGAAAGTGCCTCAGCCCAAAAGATCTTCTCCAAACCACTATGCGCCAATAAACATCGAATCTTCTCCAGCAAAGACCGATTTAACCTCTCTGCCACCCCATTCTGCTGCGGTGTATGACTAACTGTGAAGTGCCTCTCTATGCTCTCGTCTTGACATAGCTGCTGAAAGGATTCTGAAGTATACTCGCCGCCGTTGTCGGATCGCAACGTCTTGATCTTTCTCCCAGTCTGCAGTTCCAATCTCTTCTTCCACTCCACAAACAAATCTAGGACTTCACTCTTATGCTTCATGGTGTACACCCAACAACGCCTAGAATAGTCATCAACAAATGTGACGAACCAATGTCGACCACCAAGTGATGCCGTCTTGGTGGGACCCTAAACATCTGTGTGCGCGTAGTCCAAGATGCCCCTCGTCCTATGAATGGCCGTCCCGAACTTCACCTTCGTCTTCTTGCTAAGAACACGGTGCTCACAGAACTCAATATTTCCACTCTTGGCTCCCTTCAATAGCCCCTGCTTGCACAAAGCCTGCAGTGACTTCTCTCCTGTGTGCCCTAACCTGTAATGCCAAAGTCTGCTCATGTCCGCCTCTGAAATAGCCGAAGCAACCTGGCCAATCTCGGTGCTCCCCTTCAGATAGTATAAATTATGACTGCGGACTCCCTTCATCACCACCAAAGATCCCTTAGTAACCTTCGCTACAGCATCCTCAAAGGTCACCCTGAATCCCTTCGCCTCCAAAGCCCCAACTGAGATAAGATTCTTCTTAAGTTGAGGAACGAATCTCACATCCTTCAACTCACGGACTACTCCATCATGCATCCGAATCCTCACAGTACCTATCCCACAAACGTCACATGATTGATCATTTCCCATGACAACAACACCCCCATCGAGTCTCTCAAATGATGAAAACCAATCTCGCCTAGGAGTCACATGATAAGTAGCGTCAGAATCAAGCATCCACTCCGATGCATCCAAATGGTTCACCTCCGGAGTAATCAAAAGAGAAAAGCTCGAATCATCGGAATCATCGCCTTTCGCAACATTCACCTCATTGGCCTTCGGGCCCTTATTCTTGCTATTCTCCTTTTCTTTGACTTTCGGGCAATCTCTTTTCCAATGTCCCTGCTCCTTGCAGAATGCACATTGATTCTTTCCAAGCTGGTGACGACCTCTTGACTTTGACCTCCCTCTGTTTCCACCTTTCTGATATGAGCTTCTACCTCTCGCCGACAAGGCCTCTCCTGAAGTACTAGCGCGGGAAGTCTCCTTATCCTTCCTCCTCAAATCATAGTTCGTCAATGCGTTAGTCACTTCACTATAAGTGATAGAAGATCTCCCGTTCAACAACGTAAGCACGAAGGTATCATACTCCTCATCCGGTAAGGAGCCCAAAAGAATAATAGCCTTGTACTCATCTGTGATCTTCTCATCCACGTTCGCCAAGTCCGACAATAACTTAGTATAGTTGTTCACATGAGCCACAAGCGAGGTGCCTCTGGACATCTGAAATCTGAATAATCTTCGCAGCAAGTGCAACCTGTTCTCAACACTCTTCGTGAGATACTTGTTCTTGAGAATCTCCCACATCTTCATTGCAGACATCACCCCAATCACATCATATTTCAGTTCATGTTCCAAACAGGACCTGATCACCCCGCAAGCATTTCGATTCATCTTTTCTCATATCGCCTCTTCATATTTAGGTGGCCTCACATCGACCATGATGGTCTCCTCCAGATTTTGAGCATTGAGCGCATCTTGTACGTCACTCATCCATAAACCAAAATTGATCTTGCCGTCATATTTCACTATACTAATCTTAGTGTTTTGAAAACCCACTTGAACTGTGCCTGTCATCTTGTTGCTTTCACCAACTTCTTCACCCATAATCACAAATTCTAAATTATAGAGAAAACTTTGAAAAGAATAAGAAATTACCCAACTGAACCCTAGATTGGATTCCAAATAGAACTCCTAACCACACGAGGAAAGCGAGATCTTCAACGGCAACTTCAAACCCTAACTCCACCAAAGCCTAGAACTCCAAGAACCAAGCTTCCAATTGAATCTTCCTCCACCTAATCCAAAACCCCAGATCTGAAATCTGAGCTCTGATACCACTTATCGCGCGCCTATGCGGAAGCGTTGCACGCACACACAACGAACTTGAGATCACGGAAGAAGAAAGCCACACACTTGCACAAACCAAGCCAATTACGACAAATCAAACCAAACACAGAGATATACGTGGTTCGGTAATTGCCTACGTCCACGGGGAGAGGATGGGGAGATTTCACTATATGGAGGAGAAATACAACGGGTTACAACTCACAAAATCACTCAAATATAACCCTAACCAAAGCTCTCAACTCCCTCACAATATCTCTCTCTCAAAGTGCTCAAAACAATGCTAATTCTCTCATTTTCTCTCCTTTTGAAACCCTAAAAACGTGGTCCTATTTATAATAAAACACAATCCCAAACAAAAGAGGATTCCCAAACAAATGAGGATTCTAAAAACGAGTCTGCCACACCCTGCACCATGGGTGTGGCAGAGGGTGTGGTGCATGATAGATTCTGCCACACCCTGCACCGTGGGTGTGGCAGAGGGTGTGGTGCAGGACAGACTCTACCACACCCATGGCAGACACCACACCAGGGTGTGGTGGAGTCTGTTTTGGGTTATTCTTCACGTTTTTCACAATTCCTTCGCCGTTTTCACAAAGAGATTATCTCACTAGTAGAAAAACGATCAATTTAGATGGAAAAAAGCCGTCTAGGTTGCCCAGAATTCAGTCTAAGTGGATCAATCTAGATGAAATCCGTCTAGAATATTTTCGTGTAGGTTGACTTAACCTAGATGGAATTCCGTCTAGGTTGATCTAACTAGACGGAAGTCAACTAAAATTCTATTTAATTAAGAAGCAACCTAGACGGAAATTTCCATCTACGATGCTACAATAGTTTTTTTTCTTCAGAATCTACTTTGCACGACATACAATATCACATGTACATATGCAGAATATTGCACAACTAAAGAACAAGATTATTTACGCCGTAAGCTTCATTCAAATCAACTGAAGGACAAGATTATTTACTCTTGGATCTTCATCTAAACTGCATAAAAGCCATAGATCATGATTAAGAAACGCAAACGTTTAGCCAAAAATAAAATTATGATTCTTCAAAATATATGCTTTGTACCCGTGGGTACCAAACTAGACCCTTTACTTAGAAGAGAGAATGTATCGTGCATAAAAGCAAAAGTTGGCTTTTCAAGTTCAAATTTACCCTTGGAATTCTTAACCATCAATTTTGCTTTGCCTAACGGACTCTTAGGCATCGTTTGGCAAAGGGTTAATGAAGAGGGATTAAGAAGAAGAATTAACATACTTAACTCATTCGATAATCCGAATGACTAAATTATTAATCCGTTATATAAGTTTTATTTTAATCCTAATGATCATTTTTAGTGTTTGGGAATAACAAGGATTTTGACTATTTTCTTTATAATTAGAAGAGTTAGCTCTTAATCCTTCTAAATAGGAGTATTAGTAAACCCTTTATTTTAAGGGGTTAACTCATTTTAAGCCCTCTAGAGGGGTTAGCTTAACCTTTCTATATATTTTGTGTTTTACAAATTATAGAGAGTTAACTCACTTTAACCATTACATAAATTTTTTGTGTTTGGCGGGTTAAGAAAGGGTTAAGTCTCTTTAACCTCTCACTTAACCCTTTGTCAAACGGCACCTTAGTCTTTCTTAAGACTTAAGGTACTGATCCCTTGTAACATAAGGTACTGATCCCTTGTAAGGTTAACATTCCTTGTTAAGTTCACAATACCAAAAATCCCATGTATTGTACAGATAAAGGTTAGAAGTAACGACCATAAATAAATACGTTCACGTTCTAGTTAGCAAAAGATGTACATGTCTTTAACAATTGGATTTACCTACGACAGTTCTAATGCTTACTTAAGATATAAGTTGTTCTATTTAATGGTGATTAGTTATGAGATATAGATGAAAATAGGCCAATAGGCCTGTCCATTCAGGCCAACCCAGCCCGAAAATCCGGGGACGGAGGTAGGGGATAAGGATTTAAGGAGAGGGTTGAGTTACTAGGAGAAAGAGAGGGGAGAAATCTGACCATGACTGTGATCTCTATGGGGAGAGGGTATTTTTGGGTTTTTAGATTTTTTTCCTCTCTCTGAATAAGGACCTTGACATAATATTAACTTATATTGAGGGCTTAAGCACATAGATGAAAGTAAAAAATAGCTGAAGCACATGAAGTTTTCAAATTTGGGACATTGACACAAAATTTCCATTATTTTTTGTGAAATGGCTTATTTTAAAAACTATATTAAATATATTATTCGTACATTATATAATATATCATATTATTATAACATATCATATTATATTAATTAATAACATTAAATATAGTTATAATTAATTAGTAATTATAATATAATATATTATATTTTAGTATAAAGTAAAAATGTGTTATATTATATAACATGATATATCAAACTAATTAGATATATTAATTCAGATTTAATTAATAAATAAATATTATACTTTTATAATATATCACGTCATCAATTATCTCGAATTATCCTAATTTATGCCGCATCCAAAAAAAAAAAAAAAATTATTCCGTTAGGACAATTATTTCGAAGTCCAGCATCCAAAACCCTAAGATCTCTAATTTCGCCATGGATCATCTTCAATCTCCACCCTCCCCTCAAAACCTCATCCACGTCTTCTACCACGAAGGCATACTGGCTCACAACGCGGGCACGGGCGTATTCGACAGCGGATTCGACCCGGGGTTTCTCGAGGTTTTGGACGGGCATCCGGAGAATTCGGATCGGGTGCGAAACATGGTATCCATACTCCGAAGAGGACCCGTTAAGGATTATATCAAGTGGCACGGCGGAAGGAGAGCCGAGATATCCGAGCTTCTTTCGTTTCATACTCCTGGTAACTCTCACTCTCTACTTCGATTGTTTGAAATTTATTAATTTCGGGGGGGTTTCATGCGAATTGTGATGTCGAATTCATTATTAATTTGGGGGGTTAGGATTTATGACTATGATATTATGATTTGAACTCACCAAGCTCATTTTCTCATTTAGAAACGAAAATATTAATGAAAAAAAATAACTATATGTATTTATTTCCGAGATAAATCAGGTATAGATAACAAATGGGTTAGGGCGCGTTTGGGTAAATTTTTTTTAAGGGTGGAAAGCTGACATTTTGTCAGAAAATGTCAGCTTTTCACCCAAAAACGCCTCTGTTAGAGGTGTTTTTGGGTGAAGAGCTGACATTTTCTGACAAAATGTCAGCTTTCCACTCTTAAAACCTCTCAAAAACAACAAAACAAACAGCCCCTTAAGTATGGATAGTAAATGACTGACACGCGCCGCATTTCTGCAACCAGTCATAGCTGTTTTAATGCAATAATAATATAAACTAGTTTCAGGCTGTGCGATGCACGGATTTGTTTAATATACAAAAAGTTGATGTAACAAAAGAATACAAAATAAAACAGTAATAATATATAAGTAGTCAGAAATGATACAACCTAAGTTGCATATATAGTATGGAAAATTAGAAAGTTTGGAAAACTTGAATCAGTTTATGATCATATATAGTTTAAAAAATGTAAATGTGTAAAAGCGGTATTCAGAAATATGGTGGGAGTTATTTTATTATTTATAAAGTAGAAAAAATTCAAAATTAAAGTGAAATATCTGATATCAAAAAAGTACCAAAATGGGTAAACTTAAAAAAATTAAAAAAATAAAAGGTTTGGAAAAATGTAAACATGGGAAAATAATATTTGAATATTTTGTTCAAGTCATATCAATATTTAAACCTTTGATAACTTTCCAAAGAAATTGGTAAAATAAAAGTGAAATGTTAAAAAACAAAGAAAATATAATACCTATTATATAAGGGGTGTATGTCATCCACCTGACGAAAATAAGAGACAATGTAATACCTAAATCAAATAAAGTCAGTGTAAAAAAATTGTATATGTTGCAATTTTAGAACATCATCAAACCATAAGAATACGACATAAGAAGTACTCAATTAGTTAAATAAAATGCAACTCTCACATACTCTATATAAACATAAGAAAGAACAAAAATATTGAAGTGAAATGCATTGCCATTGGAGAAAAATAACAAAACATAATATAAGAGAAATACATTCTAGTAAGATTATATTGAGTTCATCACTTACCAATAGTAAAGATAAACAAAGAAACAAACAGATCTGAAACAGAAAAATATAATTATATAAAAAGAAAAGAAAAATATACTTGTATAGGCAAAAAAATCTTTAATTCTATCTTTTCCTTTTGTATTCATTTTTTTCTTTTGTTAATGAAAGAGTGAGCAATCTACCAATCTGTAGAAAAACCATAACAGTTCAAAACAACAATAGAAAAAAATGACAACTTAAGATAGGATGAGCTATTTTCATGGAAGAATTAAAATCTGTCAAATTAGCATCAACTATGTCAAATTAGAGTGCATCAACTATGTCAAATTTTAGCCAAAAGCAACGTGTTAGCTTGTATTTGCTGTCATATTTCAGCCATTTAATTTTACAAACATTTAATGTATAACATTGTATTTCTTCACCCAGCAGATTTAAGTCTTGTGCATCAAAGTGTTCAAGTCAATAACAACGTTCAAAACTCCGAATCTTTATCTTGCAAACAACAATAAAAACACAAATTCTAATCATCATTTATTGATATTCATAATTAAATAAACAAATAACTAAAAAAAGTACCTCTTAAAATGACAAAGAAAGAAAATACAAAAGCATCCAATAACTTATCAGCCCATTACAATCAATTGCTTTCTTAATTTTTACACAACTCCATTCGTTTGACTTCAAGTGAATAAGCTAAAATATGCTTTTATATGTGAGCAAAAATTTTTACACAACTCCATTCGTTTGACTTCAAGTGAATAAGCTAAAATATGCTTTTATATGTGAGCAAAATAAGGAATATCAAGTGAATAAGCTAAAATATGCTTTTATATGTGAGCAAAATAAGGAATATAAGATCTCTAGTGAAGATACAAATATGAAAGATGAAGCAGACTTTGAATGTCTACCTACACTAATAGAAGTACCAAGTCTTTCTAGTATAAATTACATGAAAACTTCTTAGGGATCCTGTGGTGTCGTGACCAAGCTCTATTAGACTCACATTTTTTTTTCAATGAAGCAATATTTATATTATTTATGACAACACCATTAAAATGAGAAAACTAAAAGCCTTTTTTTAACAACAACTGAACAATACTATAGCTGAAACAAAATGAAATAGGTATCTTTCAGTTAGACTGATACGTCAAGCCTTACTCAAAATCAAGTCCAGTAATCCGCCTCCTTTCCCAATTCCAGTACCTGATACATCTCAAGGAGCTGCTACTGAATGTTACATAATCATCATCGTGTTCCTACGAAGTAGTTATCAATTTCATCAAATCTATACTTTGAAACATCCTCATACGACAGAGAACTTTTAATAAGATACATGAATTGAAAAATAAAATTTGAGTTTGTCAAACACGCACACAAACATGCACCACTATATACACATATATTATAGGACACGCTCAGATAGAGCTAACAAATTTATCCAAAACCTAAAATCACATTAGAATAATTTCATGCTATGAATTAGCCAAATAATAACTACTGAATTTTATGTTCTCAAGCATATAGTGTCTTAATTATAACCTTATAATTCGAAACATTGGTTCAAAAATTCGAGGAAGATTCTTAATATTACTAATTTCATAATACTTGATACAATGTTACAATCAAAACCCGGACAACCTTTAAAAAAGTGTATGTAAATGTAGTGATATTTCATTCAGAAACCAAAAAATTATATTATTTTAAATGCAATTTTATATCTAATGATATATTATCCGGCATTGAAAAATTCCCAAATGTTCACAACAATTAAATGTCTTAGGAAAAATCTCTTGAAATTCAAATAATCTGCAAAACATATGTCTTGAAGAAGTCGGAATGAAAAGAAGGGGATGACAGAAATGATAGGAAAACCCAAATCAGAAACTAAATTTTAATGCCAAACCCATCCCCTCCTCAACCCTTCCTTCCCCCTATACCTATACCATCCTCCTCGCCTCCACTGCCTTAAAGATGAACGGTCTTATACTTGAAAGGGGGTCGATTAGATTAGATTTAAAAAAAAACAAATTTCTCTATTACAGAGCAAAAGAGCTATAGATCCTATGTCTCCTAACCATTTAATGCTAAAAGGTTCTAAACTTCATTGGTAATAAATAATAACAAATTAAATGATATATATAAATAAATAAATACTAATTAAGATCTAACTACCTTCTTGCTTCCTTCATCATGTATATAAGAATAACTAAAAAAATAGAAACTATAACAGCTTGATTTGAGTCCATCTACATTTTATAAGAAAGATCATGCTTGTATATCAGTTGCGCTCTCGAAATTTCCAGAAATCAGTTTTTCTATGTCAATTTCTCATCTGAGTCCACTAACATTTGTTCTTCATATTCCAAAATCCTTTTCGGTACCATACACATGACTCTTCAAACAAATCATAGCATTCACCTAATAAATTCGAAAATATAGAAAAGTAAAACATTACGCAAAATGAGAATGATAGCTTCGAATAAATTCGAAAATATAGAAAAGTAAAACATTACGCAAAATGAGAATGATAGCTTCGTCTCACACCAACTTCCACTCAAAATTTTTCCAAAAAAAAAACATTACGCAAAATGAGAATGATAGCTTCGTCTCACACCAACTTCCACTCAAAATTTTTCCAAAAAAAAAGGGAATGTCACAAACCAAGAGGACTCATCGAAATACATGAAAGAACTCAAAAAGGTCTCACCTATGCGATTTCATACAGGAGCAAAGAAAACTCAAAAAAGATCAATTCCAACATGAGCTCACTAACATTAGTTCTTCATGTTCTAAAATCCATTTTTTTAACCACAAACATTAAGCTTCAAACATTTTTCATAATTCTTGCAATAACTTACAAAATAGAAGAAGGAAAACATTTACACACTATGATAGTGACAGCTTCATCTCACACAAAATTCTAAAATCTACAAAAACAGAAAAAGAAAGGAAATGTCAGAAACCAAGATTACGCATCAAAATACATCCAAATAAATTAAAAAGTTCTGACCTTTGAGATTTTTAATAGGAGCAAAAAGAACTTGAAAAAGTTCTTAACTTTCGGACATTTGATGGAATTTCTTAAGTTGGGTCTTTAGGGTTTGAAGAGATTAATGACTAAGGGAGAGGGAATCGCTCGTGGTTCGATTTGCTGCTTATTTCCTCAATGGGTTGAGGGATAGAGTGAAGAAAAGTGGATCTGAAGTAATGTGGGGGAAATTGTTAAGAGTGAGGAGGTGATTTGGGGAGTTGAAGGTGGTTTCTGATATCTAAGGAAACGAAGAGTCGGTCTTGGGAAATGAAGAACGGGGGAAAGAACGGGGGAAGCGAAGAGTCGGTCTTGAGATCCAAGGGTAAAACAAAAAGCGTTTTTTGCCATATAGATGGATATTAGGAATTGAAGAAAGGGTATTTAAGAAAGTAATTTTAAAAGAGCAGGAAGTTGCCAAGTGGCATGTGCAATGGTGTACTATTTTCCACTTGTACTATTTGTCAGGTGGCGTTTTCATGGGTAAAAGTTGCCAAGTGGCGTTTTCATGGGTAAGTTTTTAGTAATAGTATATAGATAGGTGTTTGCGTCAAAAGTTGCTCTCGTTGTGGAATTCATTATATCTTCAGTCGATTACAACAAATTCAAAAGAAATAGTCTTTTTATAAGACTTCTTTTACACAACAAAATGAAAATTATAACTTTTTAGAAACAAACACAGGATCGTTGTTTGGATCGCTGCTTGCGTGGGATCTTT